TTTTTTTAAGATTTTTTATTTATTTATTTGAGAGAGAGAGAGAGCACGAGAGGGAAGAGGGTCAGAGGGAGAAGCAGACTCCCTGCCGAGCAGGGAGCCCAATGTGGGACTCGATCCCGGGACTCCAGGATCATGACCTGAGCCAAAGGCAGTCACTTAACCAACTGAGCCACCCAGGCGCCCACTACTGACTTCTTTAAAACAGACTAGTAACTATTGACTTAATGAAAATATCAGCTAAAATTAAATTATAAAGAAGAAAATAATAAGCATAAAGGGATCACAACTAGGTAAAAATATATGTATATTTATTGTTAATCAAAAGGATAAGAATTTTTTTATCTCTAAAGTTTAGTCCAAAGGAATAAAAAAAAAAAAGAAGTAAAGGAAGATAAATTACTCCATAATTGTGCTTAATCTGTCCAAAAGCTGTGCTAAAATGGAGACAACAGACATCATTGGTTTCTGTTCTGGCTAGTGATTGCTGTGTAACAAACTACTGCAAAACAAATTTAAGGGTCATGAATTTAAGCATGACTCAGCTAGAGAAATCTGTTCCATGAAGTATCGTGGAGAACAATTTGGCATTCATCTGGCAGATGGAGTGGTCTGGGGAGTCCAAGATGGCTTCACATACATGTCTAATATTTTGGTTAGAAAACCAGGCTAAGTGGGGACTGTTGACTAGAGCATTTATACCTGGCTTCTCTAGCACAGTGGACTCAGGGTAATTGGATTTCTTACATAACAGCAGGATTCCTGGGGAATGGGAGTGACTATACTTACATCAGACAAAATAGACTTTTTTTTTTTTTTTTTAAGATTTTACTTCTAAGTAATTTCTACACCCAACATGGGGCTTGAACCTACAATTCCAAGGTCAAGAGTTGCGTGCTCCAGGGGCGCCTGGATGGCTCAGACGGTTGAGCGTCTGTCTTCGGCTCAGGTCGTGATCCCAGGGTCCTGGGATCGAGGCCCACATCAGGCTCCCTGCTCCGTGGGGAACCTGTTTCTCCCTCTCCCTCTGCCTGCTTCTTCCCCTGCTTGTATACTCTCTCTCTGTGTCAAAAATAAATAAAATCTTAAAAAAAAAAAAAAGAGTCACATGCTCCACCCACTGAGCCAGCCAGGCACCCCAGCAAAGTAGACTTTTTTTTAAAGATAATTATTCTTTTTTTAAAAGGTTTTTATTCATTTATTTGATAGAGAGAGAGACAGTGAGAGCAGGAACACAAGCAGGGGGAGTGGGAGAGGGAGAAGCAGGCTTCCCGCGGAGCAGGGAGCCCGATGCGGGGCTCTATCCCAGGACTCCTAGATCATGACCTGAGCTGGAGGCAGACGCCCAATGACTGAGCCACCCAGGTGCCCCTAGACTTTTTTTTTAAGATTTTATTTATTTATTTAGAGAGAGAAAGAGGGAGAGTGAGAATGCTAGTGTGAGGAGGGGCAGAGGGGGAAGGAGAGAGAGAATCTCAAGCAGACCCTGTCCTGAGTGCAGAGCCTAATGTAGGGCTTGATCTCACGACCCTGAGATCACAACCTGAGCCAAAACCAAGAGTTTTGGTGGCTCAAACTGACTGAGCCACCCAGGCACCCCAACAAAATAGACTTTAAATTAAAAATTGCCACAACAAGGGCCCTGGGTGGCTCAGGCAGTTAGGTGTCTGTCTTCGGCTCAGGTCATGATCGCAGGGTCCTGGGATCGAGCCTCGTGTCTGGCTCCTTGCTTGGTGGGGAGTCTGCTTCTCCCTCTCCCTCTGTTCCTCCCCCCAGCTCGTGCTCTCTCTCTCTCTCTCTCTAATAAATAGATAAAATATTGAAAAAAAAATTACCATAACAGACAAAGAAAGACATTATATAATGAGGAAAGGGTCAATACACCAGGAAGATAGTATGATAAGTATAAATGCACCCAACATCAAAGGACCCAAAAATATCAAGCAAACTGACAAAACTGAAGAGAAAAATAGACAGCCATACAATAAAAGTAGGAGACTTCAAGACCCCATTTTCAATAATGAACAGTATATCTGGAGAGAGGATCACTATGAGGGAATAACACTACATACACGAAGTGGACCTAACAGATACATGCAGAACATTCTACCCAACAGCAGAAAAATACACATTCTTCTTGGGGTGCCTGGGTGGCTTGGGTCATGAACTCAGGGTCCTGGGATCAAGCCCCACTTCGGACTTCCTGCTCAGTGGGGAGTCTGCTTCTTCCTTTCCCTCTCCCCCTGCTCATGTTCTCTCCTCTCAAATAAATAAAATATTTAAAAAAATACATATTCTTCTCAAGGGCACATGGATCCTTCTCCAGGTTAGATCACATGTTGGGTCACAGAACAAGTCTTAATAAATTAGGAAGACTGAAATCTTACCAAGTATCTTTTCTAACCACAATGGAATATTTCCACACTGGAAATCATCAGCAAAAGGAAAAACGGAAAATTCATAAATGGGTAGAAATTAAACACACTCTTGAACAACCACTGGGTCAAAGAATAAGTCAAAAAAGAAATTAGAAATCAAGACAAAGATAAAAACCCAACATACCAAAACTTATGGGATGCAGCAAAAGCAGTACTAAGAGGGATGTTCATAACAATAAATGTCTACATTAAAAAAGATCTCAAATAAATAATTTAATTTTATACCTCAAAGAGCTAGAAAAAGAAAAACAAACTAAGTCCAAAGTTAGCAAAAGGCTGGAAACAACAAAAATTAGAGCAGAGGGGCACCTGGGTGGCTCAGTCATTAAACGTCTGCCTTCAGCTCAGGTCATGATCCCAGGGTCCTGGGATCAAGCCCCACGTCGGGCTCCGTGCTCCGCGGGAAGCCTGCTTCTCCCTCTGCCACTCCCCCTGCTTGTGTTCCCTCTCTCGCTGTGTCTCTCTCTGTCAAATAAATAAATAAAATCTTTAAAAAAAAAAAACAAAAACACTCTTTCTCCCTCTCTCTATGCCCCTCCCCCTATTTCAAATAAATAAAATCTTTTTTAAAAAAAAGAGTTAATACCTATTCTTCTCAAAAAATAGAAGACAAAGGAAAGCCTCCTAATTCATTCTATGAGGCCAACATTACCCTGATAACAAAACCAGATGAAGACACTACCAAAAAAGAGAACTATAGGCCAATATCCCTGATGAGCATAGATAGAAGGATGTCCGCTCTCACCACTTTCAACAGAGTACTGGAAGTCCTAACCACCACAATCAGCTGTAATTAAGCCAGGCATCCGTCTTCATGCTGCTCACTTCCGCCCAGGACAGCATGTGAATGTCACAGTAAAAACTATCGGTAAAGGTTTCAAGGCATCATGAAAAGATGGGGATTTGAAGGCCAGCCTGCTACTCATCATTAAATGAAAACGCACAGGAGACCTGGAGCTATTTCAACCAAGGGATGCTGCCAGTCTGGCCTAGAACGAAAATGCCTAGACAAATGGGAAGTATTAGATGGACAGCATATGGACTGTAAGTGTGGACACAGAGTACAGTATAATCTAAGTAAATGATTCTGTACCGGGACATAAAAGTTGTTCAGTAACTATCAGAGGTTCTAAACTCTCTGCCTCTGGTCTGATGTTTTATACTTCAAGATGCTTCCCTGATGTACAGAATCTCCTTGTAAAGTAAATAATTGCGTTGTATATCAGTCTTCCTATCAATATTAATTATAAAGTATTTTAGAATGAAAAAAAAAAGCCAAACTATAAACTGTCTGCATCTAAGAATTTCTGTAAAAATCTACCATTCCCTATATATTTTCCTGATGGAGATAAAGAGGAACAACCAGATTTGAATGGTGAAAACATGCATCAACTCATATTCTCCATTCTTAGCCACAACAATACCACACTTGTCATCTCTGTCGAGAGCATAGATAATATCGGTTGCCCTCCAACTGAGTTTGGTTAGAAAAATTAGCACTCAAATTAGTTAAATAGGGTTGGATATGCCAAGGTTAGCAGGTAGCTGGCTGTTTGCATTTTAGCAAAACCTCTGTAATTTGTGGGATTCATTATTTTTTACTATATAGTTCCCAAGTTATCTTAGGGTATTTATAAATTTAACTTTTATTAAGGAAAAAAGTTGAGTAAGTTCTAGAGAAGAACTATACAACATTGTACCCGTAGTGAACACTACACTTAAAAATTTGTTAAGAGGGTAAATCTTATGTTAACTGTTCTTTCCACAGTAAAATAAAATACAAGAAAATGAATCGCCAAAAGGATCATTTTGTGTGTGTGTGCAAAACTATCGTATTTACAAAAATGGTACAAAAGTGAATTCAACAGTCAATGCACACGCACACTTCATTCACATCTTCAACAAAAGATATTCTAACACTGTGTAACTAAGTAAGAATACTAGCTTCAACAGCAGCTGTTAAGCACTAGAGTCATGTAAGTTACACCCGAATGGGCAAATATTGCCCAAGTAAAATTCTATTCTTAGAGCTAAAACAGGTTTAAGGCCATTCAAGTTCAAGCACAGAGAAACAAATCTTTCAGAGCCCCAACTATTTTTGTTTGAAGAATGTAAACTGTCTTCCAACTTGTGGTCTTAAACTTCTGTTTTATGAAATCCAAAAGGAAAATACAGACGAAATCAATACAGGTGAGGTTATACTAAATAAGAGTAACATACAAAGCTATAATTAAGATGAATTAAAGAAAGCAAAAACATTACAATTGTAAAACTTGCTTGTTACTTGTCGAATCAGTCCTACACTAGGAGTTAGGTAATATATACAATTATTTTCAAGTAGATTACTTTATGTTGCTCTAACATGTTCTCTTTATCAGTGCACTGTTAAAACTAATCAAAAGCTCTACACACGTATATTCCCTTGCAACAGCAGCACACACGACCGTTACCTGCAAAGCTGTCATTCTCAAATGACTTAGTGAATGAAAGGAAATAAAAAGCAGAGAAGTAACATATTAAGGAGAAATAATGAGAATTAGAAGATTCATGCAGTTCAGCTCTTAATCAGCCAGCCAGCTTGCTAGCAACAAGAGACGGTTTCTGCTGAGGAAGGTCCTGTGGAGTGGGAATGTAGTCACCAGTGACTTCTGTCTTATCTAGAACTGCAGTAGGAAGTTGCTTGTTCATGTTTATTGTTGTTTTGTGTGTGTGTGTGTGTGTGTGTGTGCGTGTGTTTAGGTAGGCTCCATGCCCAGTGTGGGGCTTGAACTCACAACCTTGATTCATTTCTGCTTTAGCCATGTTATAATCCCCAGAATCAAAATATTTTTTCCCTTTCTGCAATTGTTTCCTTAAGAAATCTGAACCTCCAGGCTTTTGTCCCAGATGAGGACACCTTGTTTTTAATTTTGCTTCTTCAGCTTTCTCTACACTAGTTATTCTACCTCCTATTTCCTTCTGCTCCTCCGAGGAGGCTGCCTCAGGGGACTTCCACATACTGCTTCCTCTTACCGTGCTTCCCCTTACCAAAAGGATTCAATCAAGTATCAAGGTTAGTCAAGACTCCAAGTCCAGGACTCTAAAGTGCGGGGTGGATATCTTGTTCACGAGATACTGGATTTGGGGATTTTAAATCCCACACCCCCTTGGTCAAAAAAAAAAAGCAAAGGAAGGAAATCTAACAATACAAAAAAAACGTGAATCAGACTTGGTCAGCTCTGCGGTGACATTAAGGCATCAGAGTGGAACGATTCCATTCACAAACTTCCCTTTTCTAACAATATTAAGGAACAGTGAATTTCTTCACTACAAGTCAGTGTAAGATTTTGACCCTTATATGTAACACAGTGTGATCACACTGGGCTCTCCTGTGGCAAAAAGGAAAATGGGGAACCCTCAGAACCACTGTAGCTTTGAAGGTGCAAAATATTCCATGCACGTTCACGTTCAACAGCTGCCCCTCGAAAAAAATCAAACTGTACACATAAGTGAAGAAAGTTAATCATCAAAATCTCTCTTTCCTCCCCACCCCTCATCCCTACACTTCTGTATCACTTTGATATGTGTTCTCCCAGTTTGGTGTGCACATATACCTACACACAATATATTTATGGCTAGGTATTATCTTAACCATATCATGCTGCGATCTGCCTTTTCTACTTAAAGTCTGTATGGGTGAACCTCATTTTTTTCTATTGGCTGCCTACTATTACATAGCACTACTTAAAAATTCACTCATTGAGGGGATACTTTTCATCCTATTTCATTTCTCTTTTCTATTTTTAAATGATTTTTTTAATTTATAGAAGTAAAACTTGCCCATATTTTTAAAAATTCAGACTGTATTGGGGCACCTGGGTGGCTGTTGGTTAAGCATCCAACTCCTAATTTTGACTCAGGTCATGATCTTGGGGTTGTGACATAGAACCCCACATTGGGCTCCACACTCAGCAGGGAGTCTGCTTAAGAGTCTCTCCCTCTCCCTCTGCCCTCCCCCCAACCCACTCACACCCTCTCTCAAAAAAAAAAAAAATTCAGACTGTATAGACGTGTCTGAAATGAGAAACAAAAAATCTCCCTCCTCTCATCCCCACCAACCACATCACTACCACACCCATTACTCAGGTTCTATCAAGTTTAAGTTCTACTGTTGATTACCACTGAAACTGTATGTAATATATTTACACCCCTTTTTCTTGACTTATCAACTATAGATATTATTCATCAACTCCTCATAATGAAAAATTAGGAACGTCTTGTTTAAATTAGTAAATTCAGGGGCGCCTGGGTGGCTGAGTCAGTTAAGCATCTGCCTTGAGCTCAGGTCATGATCCCAGGATTCGGGGACTGAGCCCCGCATCGGGATCCCTGCTCAGCAGGGAGCCTGCTTCTCCCTCTCCCTCTGCCGTGCCCCCTGCTTGTACATGCTTTCTCTCTCTGTCAAATAAATAAATAAAATCTTTCAAAAAAGGGCGCCTGGGTGGCTCAGTCGGTTGAGCGACTGCCTTCGGCTCAGGTCATGATCCTGGAGTCCCGGGATCGAGTCCCGCATCGGGCTCCCTGCTCAGCGGGGAGCCTGCTTCTCCCTCTGACCCTCCCCCGTCTTGTGCTTTCTCTCTCTCTCATTCTCTCTCTCTCAAATAAATAAATAAAATCTTTCAAAAAATAAAAATAAATAAATAAATTAGTAAATTCAATGCACGGATGAAAAGGAATTATGGCGTTTCACTATTGAACAACTTCAGCCTGCTCTAAAAACGACTCATAGTTTGTGGTAACACAACTTGGTTACTACAAATAGTAGTTTAATTAGGGAATTATAGTAGTTTAGTAATAACTTGGATTCAGATACAGATAAACTCCTCCAGGGGACAGGAATACCTAAGTTCCCATCAGGGTCCTGCTGCTAATTAACTCTGTGGCTCTAAACACATTACGTCACCTCACAGTGTCCTAGTTTCCTATCTCTTCAAATAGGAATGATAACTATCTCACAGATCCGAATGAGGATTGAATGTAAAAAATCATGCCTCTGAACACGATTTGTAAAACACAGAGTATCCTTAGTGCCTTTCCCTTTAGCCATTGGTGTCATTCCTGGAGCGGGTGCGGGGCAAACAAGACAGAGAGTGGGCAGATAGGTCAAGCTGCAAGGTCAGGCATCCTCACTGTGCCATGCCTTTTGCTGCTTCTTGGGTTTCAAGCCCCTAAGAGATCTGAGAGGATGGGGGTGTCAGCAGGAGTGGAGGCTGAGCCAGCACTTGAGTTAGCAGGGTCTCTCCTGTATCCCAAGAATGAGAAGTCCTAAAGCAGACCTAGAAGCTGGAAGCAGGAGAAACAGATGCCTGTGGCCAGTGGTGGCGGCAAAAGAGGCACCAACCCACTCAGCCTGGAGCAGGATTTAAGTGTCTGACCCAGGACAGGGAGTACGACGGAAGAAGCCCATGAATGTAGGAAATCAGACAGACCCCGGAACTAGATCCTGCGGTAGAACAGAAGGGGAGAGTGAGCTCCTGGCTGCAGACAGGAATAGGTCACCGTCCTGGGTGACCCGGCAGTCTTAAATTGAATGAGCTTTCCACATTGTATTCCTGGTTAAGGTCACTTGAAAATCAAGCGAACCTGACTTTTTAACTTCTTTCTGTAAATTATTGTCATTTTCTTTATATGTTTAATTTTTATATTAAGAAAAATCTCAAACACACAGAAGGGATACAGTATAATGAGTATATAACATACATAATGTACAAATAGTATAAAATACCCATTACCCAGATTCAATCATTATCAAGATTTTCCCACACTTGCTTCACTTTCTTGCACTTTGAAAAACTAAAATAGTTTATTTATTTTCTTTTAAAGATTTTATTTATTTATTGGACAGAAAGAGACACAGCAAGAGAGGGAATACAAGCAGAGGGAATGGGAGAGGGAGAAGTAGGCTTCCTACAGAGCAGGGAGCCTGATGCGGGGCTCGATCCCAGGACCCTGGGATCATGACCTGAGCTGAAGGCAGACACTTAACGACTGAGCTATCCAGGCACCCCAAAAAACTAAAATAGTTTAGAGCAAATGATAGACCCATGTCATTGCATCCCTACTCACTTCGGTATGGATCTCATTTGTGTTATACATGCACACATTGTGCACACACACACAAAACTAAGGGGAAAATGAAGTAAACCCCTTCCACACAGTAAAACAGTCGGTCACTGGAGCAATTCTGGTAGGCTATCAAGATAAATGGGGATGCTACCTATACAGAGAACACAAATGCAAAGGTATCATCTCTGCTGGCTTGGAAAAGAGTAAACAAGAACACCAGAAAGCTAGGAAAGTACTGGCTATTGGAAAGGGAACTGAAAACCATAAGGCTTACCAACAGAGGCAGTATGTCGTGCCAGGGCAAAATTCTGCTCATTCCACCTCATTGTGTCTATCTTGGTGTATAAGAATCTCTCTCATTCATCTTTCCTTGCCTTCCTCATCATACCCAATGGCCTCCTCCTGACCCATGGGCCTCCAAGGCCATGACTTCTCTTTCTCTCCATCTTTCCTACCTCCACAGCCTCCTCCCTAAGTGCCTCTTCCATTAACTCCCCAATGTCTTAATTTTAAACACTAGGCACACATTTCTCTGGCCTAAGACATGTTCAGCACATAGCACTGTGTCTGGTATACAACCTCTGCTATGATCTGAATGTTTGTGTCCTCCCCAAATCCACATGTTGGAGTCCTAATGCCCAGTGTGATGATCTTAGAAGATGGAGCCTTTGGGGGGTTATTAGGTCATGAGGGTGGAGCCCTCATGAATGGGATTCTTGTTCTTCCAAAGGAGATCCCACAGAGCTCCCTACCCCTTTCCACTCTGTGAGGATGCAGTGAAAAGGCACTGGCTATGAACCAGGAAGAGGGTCCTCACCAGAACATGACCCTGCTAGTGCCTTGAACTTGGACATCTAAACCTCCGGAACTGTGAGAAGTAGATTTCTGCCCTTGATATGCCACCCAGCCTGTGGTATTTTGGTATAGCAGCCCAAACAGACTAAGATAGCCCGTTAAGAAATATTGGTTGGATGGATGGATGGATGAGTGATTTTAAGTGAGACGGTACTACTTTAAAACCTACATGAGTTCTGATAGAACACCACTATGACATTGAAGAACCATTAGCCAAAATGGGTGCCAGTCATAACAGCCAGCTGCTCACCCAGAAGGTTAGAAAAGTGGGAATGTGATACACATGCCCTCCCAGCACCACCACCAACCACCAAGCATAGAAAGGGAACAAAATGTCAGAATGGAAAGATGATGGGCACTGGGCTGCGACAAACCTGAATGCAAACCTTGACTCCACCATCTTCCAATTGTGTGACTTTGAACAAAGTATTTAAAAAATTTCATTTATCCCATCTATAAAATGGGGATAATAGTGTCTACTACACAAGGTTGTTATAAGGATTAAATTAAATAACATATTTAATTAAGGGTCCTACCACAGTGCTTGATACATACTGGGCTCAACATATCATAATTTTTATTGTATGATAATATTCATTATCATTAAGACATCTCTGGAGAGAACTTAGGAAGTTATGGTTTCCTTGTGAAATAGGCAGACTAAACACTTAAAATTAACTTCAGAGAAAGATGACAAAATGGTATCTTTTTTTTTTTTAATTTGAGAGAGAGATTGAGAGAAGGAGTGGGAGGAGGGGCAGAGGGAGAAGCAGGCTTCCCGCGGAGCAGGGAGCCCGATGCGGGACTCGATCCCGGGACCCGGGGATCAGGACCTGAGCCGAAGGCAGACAACCGACTGAGCCACCCAGGCGCACCCGACAAAATAGTATCTTTTGATACTATTTAAAGAGAAAACTTAACAAATTAATTTACTTAATTTTTGAGGAAGTAAATCACATGTAGGTAAAAGAGAACTGCTTAATATTATCTACCTGAACACCTTAAGAAACCCTCTGACAGATTTCCAAAGGAGAGGC